TTTCCAAGCTGCAAGGTGCTGACTCTAGACATACCTATGTATATTCGATGCGATAGTGACGCAATAAGATGTTAGTTTTGAATAAGACTCAATTGGCAGGTATAGAGAAGCAATTTGCAGCGAGTTAATTTTTTATGCTTAAGGGGCTTTGTTGTTTGCTCAGAAAAAAGTGTTTTAACGAACGTATTTGTTCACGTTGTTAGTTTATTCCCATGAATGAATCGGCAATATAAATTGATGCTTTCCATGAATGATTTATGACAATAAAAACCAAAAGAAAGAAAGATCGTAAATTATATTTACTTGTCGAAAAGGACTTTGTTTGAAATCCCCTGAGATCCCCGATGTGCTAAAAGTTTATACCGTTTATAATTCCTCGCTCATGTAGTCCATACTTATTACATTACCATAAATATAAGATGTATACACAGCTCGACACTCGTTTACATTTAACGATCTTTCGCTTTAATCAGAGTTTAAAGTTAATTGGTGCAGCTCGCTTACTTATGTACAGTCTGAAGATTTTTTTGCAGTAAGCAGGAATTATGGATCATAAATTATATTGTACCATGAGCCCGCTTTATATTAAAAAAAATAATAATTATTATGTTACTTACAATGAAATAATATGAAATTCGTTTAATTGTGAAGAGAAAATTGATTTAAATGATTCGCGATGAATAAAAGAATATTGAAATCGCAAAACTTGTACTTGGAATAATTATGATAAATCTTATGGGAGTGTGCAATTTTCGTTAAATAGAGAGATTCATGCTCGACAATTTTTAAATAAATAAAAACGTAAGTTTATTCTTTAATCGGCTGATTTTTTAATTGTCCAGAAATTAATTACACGCGCGAATTACTTAAGACCAGGGTTGGGTAATAACTAGTTAATTAGTTAAAAGTTAAAAAAAAGTTAAGTTATATAAACGTATTATTTTTAAATTAAAGTATTATTAATTTTTATCTTCATTTGTCATTAATTGTAATTATTAAAAAACATATTTCTATATAAAAATCAAAATTTCTTTGTTATTATATATTTTAAAAGAATTAACAAACAATTCTAATTTAATATAAATAATATTTTAAAAATTAACTTTTGATTTAACTTCAGTTAATTTAATCTTAACTTTAATTGAGTTAGCTTTGTTTACATAAAACTTTTAACTTAACTAAATTTTATATATATATATATATATCGGCCAATTAAGTAAATTAATTTTATAAGCAATTAACTTTAACTTAACTTAATTTAAAAAAATCATTAACTTACCCAACCCTGCTTAAGACTAATTTTCTTCCTCTGATTTATATGTTAACATCCAATTCTCTGTGAAGAGAAAACGCACCGCGCTCGGCATCTATTCGCCATTAGGATTATTAGCCGCGGGTATACACAAAAAAAAAAAAAAAAAAAAAAAAAAAATCCATATAATCACGATTACGTGCGATTACGATGTTCGCGCCACCGGCGTCGCGGCTTCGTTTTACGGGGTCGTGAGGAGAATCCTGAGGTCTCGTGACGAATCGCGCGGCACCACCGTGTCATCGTCATCGCGATGCGTCATGTCACGAGGCGTGGAACACCGGCAGACGTATTATGCGCACCGTGGTATTTATTGTCGCAGACGGAAATAAAAAGTAACGCGAGACTGTACACGTATATAAAGGCAGACGTCTGACATCAGCCTCTCAATCAATCCGTTTTGCATGATGATGCATGAAGCGCATTCGGCGAATATGTCGCGCGAGAACATTCATCTGGGTGTGGACGCGGCAAACGTTGCCCATATAAATCCGTTCGTCAACGCATCGTGAAATCTAGATTATCTGACGCGAACAGTTTAACGATACATTTCGCACGATTCAACATTTGATGCCGGTAATCGTCTACTGAGCTAGCCAGACAGTCGTTTCTCGTATGGGATAAATTAAACATTTTTAATTCATGTTATTCATGTGATGATGTAATACGTTTAATTTATTATTATTCGCTAGGGAAATGTATAATCTGAATAGAGAGATCATTGCGACGTCATAATCTCGACATTAGTTCGGTTAATTAGGAAAAAAGCTGCAGCACATTTTATATTTTATTTTAGTGTCTTTTCGCGTATATTTTTTGCTTTAGAAGCGAAACTCTGAAGAGAATGAACGTGCATCTTTTAAATGAAACTAAATGATTCTAAATCGCAACAGATTCAGTAGGCTATCGATGATCCTATGCAAATGTTGCAATACGAAGGTCAAATTTTATTTTCCTCCTTCAACTAGTTTGCTTAGAATCGCTGTTGAATGATACATGTTTGTGCGTGAGCTTGAATAGATTTCAATAGATTAACTGACAATGAGATGACGCGTTCTTGATTAATTCAAAATAAAATACCAAAAATGAAATGCGAAAGGCGTTTGTTACGCTGTTTTCATTCAACAACAAATTATATAGTGCGTCATGAGATAAACTAATCTTATAGACATCTTGATTATACGTTTTGTTGCAATTATGAAATTAAATAGTAAATTTCCTAAATTTTAATTATTTAATTTATTTTTAGTAAATTATCACATTAATTTAAAAAATTATTTCTTATATTTATTTATGATTTATATTATCTACTGACAAATATTTATAATCTGTTTTATCATTGCGAAATATCGCGGGATTTTTGTTTTTCGTTTGTACAGTTCTTTCATTAATTTTATTTCTGTTTGCATCTTGCTTTGTGTATTCACTTGTCTGACCCCGCTGTTTAAACGCGATCGATAAATTTTCCTGCGGGCAAGCCACTTTGGCCTTTTACCTTATTGCTGTAATAGAAAACGAGTCGAGAAATTAAATTCGCATAAACATACGTCAAGTAATGATTACTGAGTAAAACCTATGACCTATGATTGTACAGAATGTCAAAAGTTGTGCATTCTTTCAATGAAATATTTTCGAGAAGCTGAGATAAATTTGTTTTAATATTAAAATATATCGATTCGTCTATTAATGTGTGGTATTATTTTTGTATATTTATATTATTTTTATTTTTATATATAATAGATTTATCTATATACCTACATAGATAAATCTATGTACAAAAATAAAAATAATTATAAATATGCAAAAATAATACTATTTATTATATAATATATACACACATATATATATTTTTTATACCGAATTCAATTTCGGGTATAGTAGTTATTTCCAATAATCTTGGTAATACGAGCTGTAAATAAAGATAGCGATAGGATTCTCAACAATGATATATTGTTATGGTTGCGAGTATATACCGGCATTATTACCGATTGTTACGTCTGTCGTAACAATAACTATAGCCTTGTCTTTTTTTACGATATACCGCGGCGGATTTCGCGGAGATTTGCTCGAAGAAAGACGAGTGGACATGGAGATTCCATGCAAATCCGATAGGCGCAAAAAATTCGGGATATCATGAACGTAACTCGCGAAGCTTGGATTATAACGTATCGGCGATAAAGCGATATCCAACCGATTCTCTCGCGCGTTTCCATGTTCATGGTAAATCCCAGAATCAAGAAGTACCGGAAGGTAGTAGTCGGAATATCATTACGTCCATCGCAAAACCACTGTTTTGCATCTCACATAAAATTTTAGTATATGTACTTTCGTTATATCTGTCAGATTTAAAAGTATTTCCAGTGTCGCGATGCATTATTCTATCGAAGAATCGTTTCTCTCTTAGAATTTTTTATAGCAAGAAAGATGAAAAGCAAAATAAGATATTTTTAATTATACATTCTTTACGTTATATTGAAATTTTTCTTTGTCATTATTCATAGAATATTGCGAATATTCTCGATATAAAATGTCAATTTAAAGTAGGTAAATCAGTGTAGCTAATTTTAACATTTTATCAGAAAATATTTCGATTTTAATAAATATAATTATACATTAATCTAATATTTGATATGAATCATTCATATTTTAAATTGAGGTTTATTTTCATTAAGAACGATGAAACGCATCAATGAGACATTTTTGGCCGCGTAAAGTGTTTCTAGATCGCGTTCAACTTGTTTTGCATCTATGTTTAGATCAACGTTCAGCTGGCGACGATAAACTAGGTCGGATTAACGCGCTTCCTTGAGTGACTTTTCCATCCTTCACTAAAGAAGACTCTCCTCTATGTCATATTTTCTCATATATTCATAAACATCATGGATTATTGGATCCAGCATAGGCACCAAACACATAATACTATTGCAACTATCAATATTCTAATAGAGATATTTACGTGGCGATATGTACATAACATTCGGTCCACAACGTTACATCGAAGTACAGATATACATATATGATATTATTTACTAATTTGCAATTTAATTATTGTACGCCGCAATCCTCCGATTGGTCAACGTTGATTGAATCAAAACGCCGCATATATAATTATAATTAATAATTATTTTCACCGACGTTTATTTAAACGAACATTGAAACTTGTATATGGTGATCTTTGAAAATGTGAGACTGAGCATCGATTGACTGTCAAATACCACACGATTAACATTTAAATCGAATAATGATAATCGACATGAATTTTATGACAACAGCTGTCGGAGAGAGAAAATATCTTATCTATTTCAATTTCTTCATCTCTTGAAATTATTAAGATGGATTTCACAATTCCAAGCTGTCGTGCGTGTTTTTCGTTGACACATGCGACAAGTAACGAGTCGCCTATGTGAATAACTTGAATGCCTCTAACCGGATTTCGCGGATAAACGGATTTTCCGCATACATAGCGGTTTATTGCGTCGCGTTACGTGCGTTTTATCTCTCACGGTGATTAAATTACGTTGCGTCACCTTGATACCGCGACATATTAGATTGGACGTGTCGGAATGCACTTGTCAAAATTTTACGCGCAGGAAAGCAATTTAGCGACGAAAATATAATCGTCCCGGAACCTGACAGATACCCCCGTTCTGTTATAAATAATGCATCTGTTAATTTTTGCTTCTATCAGATGTGGCGATTACTTCTGTGGACGCACTTCCTGTTGCTAACCGTGCTGTTAGCACCGGTGCAAAGGGTTGCAGCATGCAGCTGTGCACAGGCCCACCCTCAAACCAAATTTTGCGAATCGGATTTCGGTACGATAATCATTTTATCGCCAACAACATTTTTTTATATCGTAAATATTTTATATCATGATTTTATTTTCTGTAAAATCTATTATATGTAAGTGTATCAATATTTTTTCCTTTAATAACATTATAATGGAATTATTTTGAATATCTAATACACACAGAAATAAGTGCTCTATTGATATCAATCACAGCTTTAAAATATAGGATCGTCACGAATTAAATAATAACAGTGAAATTCATTTTGCGACTTTCGTAAAAAAAAAAAAAAAAAAAAAACAGGATTAACGACATTCATTTGTCACAGTCGCCGTAGTGAGGGTAAAGAAGGTGCTTCCCGTGAACGAGTACGAGATCGCTTACAAGGTCAAGATAAACAGGGTCTTCAAGGTGCGTATTATATACGGGTGGAAGCGTCACGTTCATCGTGAAATGTAATCTGGTAGTTAAACCGTAAGTTCCCTTCTTCTTTTGCCACTCGCAGTCCAACCCAAAGGCCGACGTGGCTCTGATGCAAAACCTTTTACGGACTCCGTCCTCGGACTCGATGTGCGGCGTGACGCTGAAAGTCGGCGAAACTTACGTTCTTAACGGAAGAATCGTCTCGGGACGAGCGCTCATTTCATTCTGCGGCCTCTCTATAAGATGGGCCGATACGACCAGCAGGCAACGCAAGGGTTTACGACAGCTCTATCAGCAGGGTTGCGTGTGCGACGTAAGTGTGAGATTTCAAATTAATTATCTCTCGCATATTCATGTATTTATCCTTGAAAAAAATCCTGTATTTGCATAATAATTTTTTCACACAGTCAGGTAAGGAATTTACCAATTCTCTTGCTAATGATAATTTATTTTAATCTCTCGAAATTGACTTGTTTCAAAGTATTTTAGAAACTAACAAATTTTCTCAAATTAAATTAAGACCTAAGCAATCGCATAGATTGAGAAGAGACTTATAAGTCAAGTATATTTTTTCGATTGAGCTTGATGCACCAAGAGATTAAGACAATAAATAATTCACCCTATAAATTCCTGGCGATTTAACACATCCGAGAACGCTTCTGAAAAATGGAGTGTCCTAAAAATACCCGGACTGCTGCATGAATGCAATCATAGCCGACTTCTGCGAGAGAGTCGCGACTTGAGAATGCATGATTCGCGAGGAGGAGCGCGAAAAGAATGGACCTGGTTTTTGTATCGCAGATCATGTACACACACTGGAGGCGCAAGGGAGCCGTGCTGGAATCCAGCGGCGGGAAACGTTGTCTGTGGGAAAGCACACCAGGCCCCCAGGATTGCCAAGAAAAATACGGCGTGTGCATGGCGGGGCCCGGCGGCTGTTCCTGGGTACCCTCGGTTCCGTATAAAAATTGCATCAAGGAATATAAGCGTCAACGCGATCAGCAGAGGTCGCGGGAACCTTAACTCGACACGGCTCGCGTGTTCTCGCGACGCAGAGCAGTTATAAATCTATCAAAGTATCGTAAAAACGGCACGGCGCGCGCGCGCCCGTTAATTAATTTAATTAAACACGCCGAAGATAATTGAGTCACTGAGAGGCAAAATGGTATGCGGTGCTTAATGGAAAGTTCAACGGTGGATTATTGTACAGACATGCAAAAAATTTTGTTCCTTGTTTTTTCCTGTTTTTTTTTTATATTGTTCATTAAAAACAGTAAGGTAACATAACAGATTAAATTCCCTTTATTTGATATTTTTACGTTTTATTCTAATGTTTTCGAATAGTTCGTATTCGTTAAAAAATGTTAGATTCTTTTCAATGTGATGGCTTTGCAAATTTGTGACAGTTTACTTCTGAGCGACATAATTATGCATGTCGATCATTAACGTTGATATATTATTCTTATTAATCTTTACATATTAGTTTTTATGGATTTGGATGAATTTATTATTTGTTAAATTATTTGTGACTTAACGACATCAGGTAAGTTTTATTGTTTCATTGGCTTAAAATATTTACTATAATGTGAACTACAAAGAAAATAGTTGAATACTGGTAGATCTAACAGACGTTATATAGTGCAATCGACTCTTAATTATTCAGTTATTATTAACATGAAATAGATTTGTAGAGCTTAAGTATTTTGAAACTCGTGGATAGGTCGTTAATAACTGATATGTATTTTGTTACTGAAATATATAAGCGACCTACTTTTACGATTATTCTATCTTAGCAAGTTGTATATATTATATTGTTAATGTATATTGCGCATCTTCCCTTAAATTATTCAACTATCGTTTTGTTGTACGTAGAATCTTAGACATAAAATTTCACTCACGTACTTTATTACATTTCGTAACATTTTTTATGTGCGTTTTTTAGATTTAAATTAGATCGTGCCATTGCATATATATATTTGTTATTTACATCGATTATTATTTACAGCAGATGAAATTAAAAGCTTGGAATATTTAAATTTATAATTTCGAAAATTAAAATTTTTACAATTTTAAACATATTTAATTTTAAAGATGTCTGTGAAATCTTTTAATTGCGTTACAGGCACATTTATCGTTTGATTTTAATTATTATCACATAGCAACTTTTCGTTAAATAAATGTATTTTAGTGGATTAAAATTTAGAATAAAATACGATAAATATTACTGCAAAATTTTGATGTGAATTTCCGATCAAAAAATAATCGAGAGACGAATTTTGTACCTATGTTTTAGTTTAGTTCTTAAATGTAATAATTTTATAAATGTTATATGTGACATATGGAATAAAAATAAACGAAAATAATTGTTTTTATGGCCATGCTCTGATTGTAATATTGTTATTTTAAACAATATTTTCCTGACAATGCACTCTGTTTGCCGAGAATATTTTTCTAACGTTAATTGTTTGCATTTTGAAAGATAAAGTAATATATCGAACAAATATTTATCAATCAATTTTACTCACCATTTCACGATGATGGGGATAATAACTCTGTTCGATCAGCGGGAAGTTGTCTTTACCCAAACGACGTTGTAAACCCAGCAGGTGCGCAAATACCCATGGTTTGTCCTATTTCGTAGAACACGTAACAATTATTAAACGGTTTGATATAAGAGAGATTCATATAAGAGGGATATATATATATGAATATTTGAAGATAATAATAAAAATGATAGAAATTTCAATAGTGTTCTATATGTAAAAGATTCCACACGTAATGACATGTATATCTTCCATCGATTTATTATATATATATATATATATATATATATATATATATATAATAAATCGATGGAAGATATACATGTCATTACGTGTGGAATCTTTTACATATAGAACACTATTGAAATTTCTATCATTTTTATTATTATCTTCAAATGATTATCTCTGTACTCCAAATATAGGAAAGAACTTTGCAAACGTTTTTATGCAAAATAGATGAACTCTAATATTATAATAAAAATAGACGTAATACGTTACCTGGAAGTTGTAAATTGCCGTAAAATTATTAACGCTAGGTACGCCGCCGTACATCAGACCGAGAAGGAGATTTTTATAATCTTCCCCAGCATCGCGCAAATTTTGTCGTATCAATACGAAATCAGGCTTGAAGGATCTAACAACACAAACGTTAATACACATTTTCTCTTTCGATGATACTTTGAACACAATTTTTATTTTGATTACGCGTTATTAAATTACTACAGATTATTTTATTTAAACAAATATGTGTGTCAATATTAATTTTATAGATTTTTAAATCGTGTTTAATTTAATTTTTCAATATTTATTTGTTCGATGTTAAAATGTAGATTAAATGCACAGTGATATCAAACGATTCAAATCAATGCAATGTCGTTTAAAAAATGTTAAATGCGCTGAAAATGTTGGCTTTTATATCTTACCGAATGACTTTGGTCCCGTTACGATAGACAGCCATAGACACAATGGTGCCTGCCTCGCTCGCTGTGAGGGACAGTTCGCGAAATTCCGCCTGCTCCACGCGAATCTCATAATCGCCGTGCAGTCTACGACCCCGGAAATATTTGCTCCAGTCGGTGTTTTGGTCGTCGATCACCAACAGAGTGAAGCATCGGTCTTTGCTGTATGACGGGCCTCTGGTCGCGCCAGATACCGCCGCTCCCAAAATAGAAGCACCCTACACGTCATTTTAACTGTCAAATACTGTAACGCTCTGCTTTCATAACCGGGCAATATATAGTGATCGACCGAACGCGGAAAACACATCGACTATAATTTAAATACTTGACGTGAGCAAAATATCCGGTATATTTTTAGAACAAAATTTGGAAATTTATTCCTAAGACAGTGTAATATTAAATTACAAGATATCGCGAGATTTTGGATTATTAAATTAACCAAAACGAGACTAATCGTTCCTTAAAGTTTTTTGAATGCGAATCCAAATTATTTTATTATAATTTTGAAAAATTTTTAATTAAAATTGTAAAAAAAGGCTTTTTTCACAAACTTATAGCTACAATATGTGACGTGCTGGAGAAGTTTCATTCAATCAGAATAAAGTATTAGGATTTTCAACACTCAAAAGAAATTTTTGATATTGTTTATGGTCAATAAGATATCCATTAAATGGGATGTATTGCGAAAGTTAGCTGTGACTTAGGTCATTGACGATTTACCAAATAAATTTTAATTATGTTTATTTAATCTTAAAGATTTTTTAGATGTGTCAAAATTGTCAAAATCAAAATGGTGGATTTATATAAAAAGCATTTTTAAACTTATAACATCCCCTATATTGAGTATCATTGAGTTAAAATATTCTTAAAAGCTATTTAGTAAATCGTCAATGACAGCTCATATTTACCCAAAAATTCCTTTCGAAGATTAAAAGTCCTAACAATATACTTTATTTTAATCGCAATAAAACTTCTCGAGCACATTACATATCGTAGTTAAAAGACGAAAACAACCCTTTTCTGCAGCTTTAATGAAACATTTCTCAAAATTGTGAAACATTATATAGAACAATTTGGAAACCGGATTCGTGTTCAGCATTGAAAAAACCTCAAAGAAGGGATCAAAAGTCTCGTCCCAAGAAGGAAGTAATTTTTTGTCGAACAATATAATAAAAGCAGAGGCTAAAATTAACTTGCCTGGTCGCGAGCGGCGCCGGTTAAGCTCTGCACTCGCTGGAGCAGGCTCTCCCGCGTCTTGGCCGGCGAAGAGGGCGCGCTGGTGGTTCGCGAGCCGGGTCTCAGGTTGAGGCTGAGATCGCCGCCGATGGGTTGCGGCGGTCCCTGAGGTGGCGCACCCGGGATGGGTGGCTGGGACGGCGGCGGTATCGGGCCCGGTTGGGACTGCAATGGTCGGTCCGGGACCGCTTGATACGGCTGAGACGAGTCCTGCCGGCCCACGAGTCCGGTGGCCATCCCAGGATCCGCGTTGGGCTCATCGTCGAGCTCCGAGCTCAGGTCCCCCGACGAGAACCTAGAGGACAAGCTAAGGTGGTGGTCGTGATAGTGACAATCGGGTGGTCGGCAAGGCCGCGCGCTGACGCCGTCGTGTTTGACTGGGCTAAATTGCACATCGATCAACCAGCCATTTGATGCTGATGGGATGAGGGATATGAAGATGACGTCGACGATGAGACGACTCGCTGGCGATCGCTAATTGCCCGCCGGCGTGTTCACATGCTATTTCGACTGAGTAAACGACGCTCCAGGGCGACATATGTTATAATGACATTGCTCCGTTGTTTCCTATAAAAGGAGCCTTTTTCTCCGCGTAATGACTCGTCTCGCGCGGTATAAAACGAGCATCGAGGCGCGAATGATGCAAGGTAAAACCGCACGAAACCGCGTCGTTTGCGCATTTACGTCATCATCGACTCACATTGCCAAGCGTCCGTGTGATTTCTCGTCGTAAATAAAAGCGGGAGAGATGAAAGACGCGATATCGCCGATGGGGGGAGGGATATGGCGGCTTTATGCTAACGTTGCCGGGTGTAAAGCAACATTAGCGCGATGACTTGATATCGTATAGCGTGCGTCCAGGTTGCTAGTATTCGGGGCAATGCTGGAAGCGGTATTTTTAACGAGCCACATGCATACATTCAAACTTGTCGAACACGAAAAGCTTGAAACTATTAATAATAATATTCAAACATCTATGTGTTTACATGACACATTTTTCGCTCCTCAAAAACAGTATATTTTCCTCTTTAATTGATTAACAACATTTAGCAAAATTGTCATTAATAAAATATCATTTTATTAATATTGATTTTTCCAAAAATCGAAGAAAATTGATTAATTTTTTGCTTTTTTCTTCAATATATACTCTGGATAGAAAACACATTAGATAATCGATGAAGACGAAGTAAAGATGAGACAGAAATAAATAAAATAGCTATAGTTATAGTTTCAAGAGAATGTGGGAGATCATTCTCGTATTTAGAACAGCAGCACGTGAGTTTACCTAAAATGACAACATTGTTTTCGAACTCTATTTTAAACTCTCGCATCTCGCTTTACATTATCACTTTGCACTCGTTGGCCTGGAAACCTTTGCATCGTATTTCATTGTGACTTGTGACTCCATGTCCCGATTTTCAACACCATAACTTTGACACATGCTATATAGGCTCTTGCTTAACAGCCGATTCAGGCAAGCGTTCGTGTCCGGCTAATTGGACAGAGGAATCTATTTTCCCATCACGAACGCATCATGGGGGCCGACGAGAGCCTATGGAATATTGAAATACCGCGAGCAACGCTTTAACATCCGATCATTATCATGCAAATGCTAGCGCGCGTAAATAACTAGATATAAGAGCTATTTCATAAAAAAGATTCAGCCTGCTTCGACGATATATGATACACGAGTTTTCATCAAATATGCCTTTCAACAACGTATCGTATATTCAAATATTACATATATTCTTGAACGAGATAGAGCGGCCGCTTACATATGATCAAAATGTTTTCATGCCAGATTTTAATTACGAAAATTCCTGCACTTTATCCGATAACAGTATATGAACGCTAACCCTAATTACATTAAAAGCGTATTTACATTAAGGTACATATAATATTAAAATAAAGATATAAAATATTCACATAAACCTCTTATATTTATACATATAATATGAGTAAAAAGTTTCCCGGAAAAACCGGCGAAACTTATTGTTAATATAAAATCGCGACTTAAATTTCGGATCGCGGATTTTTCACGGGTTGACACTTTTCAATTTTTCTAACGCGGTACATGTTAAAATTCACCCAAGGGCTTTAACCCTTCGGATCAAAGGGCGCCGCGAAATTAAAGAGGCACGGAGAGATTTCGTCGGCTCGAGAAAAAAAATTGAAATGCCAGCCCCGAAGTCCGGATCCGACGTGACGGCGGTATCTCTCGAGCGACTCACCTCCGTTTCAGGTAGTTGACATTGGAGGTGAAGGACTGACGAAAACTGGAGAATGAAATGTTGCCGGGTGATGGAGCTGTACCACAGTACTTGGCGCAACCGCCGCGGCCGGTAATCTTGATGGTTACACCGGGCCTCGCTTTTGCGATGAAACGATCCGCGGTTTCGTCGCTCGAACCGTTAGTTGGCGATCCGCAGGATAAATCGCTCCGGTTCTCTTCGGTCGTCTGCGCTGCTAAGATGAGGACGCGATGTTGCGCGGAATATAGGTCGTAGGTTGGTGGGTCGAGAATGGATTGTGGATCCTAGATCGATCGATGGGCGACGATCTTTCTCTGCTTGATGCCTCGCGGGATAAACTTCAACGTAAGGTAATCCGAAAGGAAAGGATGAAATAAGAGGAGGTGAGGAAGGAGAAAATAAACAATCCAAGTTGAAATCTGCAACAGGTTAATTGAAAGAATGCGAGATAAATTTGCTGGCTGTTTTTTTTTTTTTTTTGGCAAATTGCAATTGCAGAATTTTTTAATCGAATATTTGTATATTATTCGGAAATGCATATTGTATAAATTGAAATATGATTTTAGCCTTGATCTGAAATATTTATGCATGCAGAAAACGCTGCCTCTCTGTTTGCATTAACCCTACGATATTTGAACACGTGTAATAAATGTACGTAATTGTATATATTATAAAATTTTGCAATTTTGTAATTCATTCATAATTTAATAACCGTGAAATTGAAATGAATAAAACTGTTTTTACAGACATTTTATTATTCATCATTGCATATTGATTTTATCTTCTGCGTCTAAATTTAATTTTATTTGATTTACTTCAACATATTCAATTGCATAGAAAAGTATTCCAGTGCAGGAATAATACGCGTGCAGCTTAGATTCTTTACGGATCTAATTTAAAAGAATTTCTTTCCTTTCGAAACGACACATTCGTGTCGCCAACAACGTACTTTTATTGCGAAAGACATCTCTTCGTAATTGGGTTCTCTAGTGTATCGAGAATGATAAAGTAATATCATAAACCGACTCGTGTTTCTCTCATTTTTTTATCACATCGTTCTTTATACAAACTTGTACCTATTATTAGTAAGTACAGTAATAAAAACGCGTCAAAAAAATTCGATAAAGATTTACAACTTTAATGAATAATTCAGATTAAATATTCGTGCAGAAATATGCAAGAAACTCCAATAAAAATTTATGAGATTGGCATAGATATGAAAAAGGATACTCTAGAACTGGGTATATAATTTACATTTAAATAATAACTTTCTAAATTTACAAAGAATTTTTAATCTTCTCTCTTTATCTCTCTTTTTTCTACTTATCACTGGTAAAATAAAGAGTGTTTCGGAATCACGTATTAGGGGTGAAAAATTGTAGATGTAACCGGTGTCGGCAACGACTTGTAACAGAACGCTCGTGAAAATCGATACTCGGAGCGCGATTTTACTTTGGAATTTCTGAAATGCTTCACGACATCATGCATGTGAGCCGGCATTTACGTATTCTTGAAACATACGAGACTGTTACTCCTACGGCTTGCCCATGGCTCGATCGTATCGTGTACGTACAAGGTAGAACGTATCTTCCTTGAAGAGCTCGCGGGATAATTCTATGCTCGGACGGCGGAAAAAGAAGCGCCGAGGAAGCAATGATACGTTCGGACCGTTCGTATTTGTTTCTTGCAGAATTCTTCGATAATAGGCGAATGGTTCGCGGAATTGGTGAACTTTGCGTGTAGTAAACTCTAGCATTCAACTTTCTCGGCGTATCGCTCGAAGAGGAAATTCCCCTTCGCGATTTCGTGCAACGTTTTTCGAGCAGAGACAAGAGAGCGACTCTATATAATAAATACTATACGTTAAAGCAAAAGAAAACGACTGCTTTTTATATTTTATATTGAGACATTTATTATTGCATAACGATGAAATTGATAGAAATTATTTGAAGCGTCAGGCATATGAACATGTAATAAATTCATTCAACATCTGAAACATTTTTTTAAATCTGAATTTAATTCATAAATTTATAAAATTAATTAAAACTAATTTTAATTAGTTTTATGAATTTATGAATTAAACTCGATTTAAAAAAAATTATACATTTAAAAAAATATGCAAGGAATGGTGACAAAGTTGTCGTAGAAGTTGAATGAATATCCAAATTTGAAATATATTTTCCATATTTTCTTTTATTATATAAGAATGTATTATTAATTTAAGTCTCACGCTGCTTTGTAAGATTACGCTTGCTTTGCAAGATTTCGATTGCTTTATCTTAAAGTTTGTTGTTTCGAGAAATTCAAATCAACGTGAAAGAACAGGAAATTATATGGAGAAGAACTGTCTGAAGTACGAAGAAACAAATTAATCTCTATTCTGATACTAAATATAATAACAGTTCGCAAGTTTCGCAGTTTGATGCAATATAAGCCCCGTATATATATATAGTATCTACTATATATTAAACTTTAAAATGGTAACCAGGTTATACACACAAATATTACGTATTGATGAGTTACACTCATGAATGTAGTTCATCAAGCATTTTACACGCACAATATTGCTACAAGCATCAAATGGCTTTAATAACTGTGTAATATAGGAACTAGAGATATGATGAATGAAAAGTTTAATAACAAAATCCTATAAAGTAAAATATGTATGAAGAATAAAATAAAAAAATTATGCATTTAATAAAATGTGTCATACAAGAGCTAGATTGAATAAAGCTAAAAGTGATCAAATAAATTATTCTGATTTACCTCAATAACGCTAATAAATTAACGTGAAGAGTGTTTCATGAATTAATGACTTACTAATGTTGTAATGGAGAAAATGATTAAATATTTTTTAATATTAGCAAGTAGGTCACACCATAATTTGCAAATACTAATGTCATTTAATATAGTTAAGCAATTATGCTGATTACGTAAATAGTTACATTTCAATTTCCCATTCTGACATTTACCTACTATATTAAATTACAAATGGTGTAAATAGAAATCAATATACTCAATTTATTAAAGTATAAATTTAACGAAAAATTTATCGAACGCGAATAATCAACATAGAGAACAAATTCTTAATACAATTGTAAGTATTTCATAGCAATATATTCCGATTTAACAAATTACATTAGAAAAAATATTAATTAAAAACTTCCCTCACCTGTTAGTAATATTAACATTTATCTACGAATGTAATTATTGTATATATAATTGAATCCAAATTGTTGACGAATTAATTATTATCTCCTCGATATTTTGTATAAAATTGAATTCAATACAAATATTTCGCGTACCTACCATTGTTACATAAATTGCATGTTACGCATTCTCGTAATTCCAGTTACAATGGTATATGAATATTGTACAACCGGTAAATTCATATAATTACGGAGATTGTATCTAAAAGATTGCAACATTCTGCTGTTTTAATCTCTACATCTAAATCATTTTTTAAACTATCATATGCAATATTAAAATTGTTACGTAACATTTCTCGATACATCTATTACAGATTTGTTTTAGATTAAAATATGATAAATGTGACATATACATTTGATAATCAAGCAGAGAAAAAATCCGCGAATGTGCCAATATTAAAAATATCTGAAAAATAAAAGCACATCGGTGTTATCAAATTTTTATTTAAATTTCAATACTTGAAAGAGACAGAAACTTTTATTAACTGCGCTATTTTTATAATATTTATTAATTTTCTGAATTGCGCTTTTGTATTGATTATTTCGTGAAAGTATTCTGTGAAAAACAAGTTGTGCATGCAAGATTAGTAATTGAATCTATCAGTGTCAATTAACTTCAATTTTACACTTAATCCACGCAAGTGATTCTTCGCTGTTTTATAAAATTAAAACGAGAAAACATATATTTCTCTTGCGATTTTAAATTTTATTTTAGAAAAATATTACAAAAATAAAATATATGCAATATTTGCCGATAAAATAAATCAGAAAAAAAATACTATGCAGCACATGACATTCAGAGAACGGCGCTATCGCACAAAAGAATATTTCCCGACATTGATTGTTAAGATCCCTCTCGACAGCCATGACTAGAATTTTCTAAGAAAACGCGATTTTTATCAACATCGCGAGAAGAAAAAGATGGAGCGCCTCGGCTTATTGGCCAGCTCAAACATAAAATACGATTTGATGGAAAAAAAATCAATGAGAGTGCCACTTCGTAAAACGTACCGCCACACTCGCCATTTCCCTTTCCTCTCCCGAAAACTTATACATATAAAAAAGTGTCATCTCCCCTGGCTGTTCAATTATCGCTCCACTTTTCGCTTCCCGGCTATCCCCGACTATTTATGACTGAACATCGATTGTACTCCGTCCAAGCAAGATCGGAATCTTGCGCAATGGACGTAAATCCATAGACTGCACTTGCGTACGAAAATATACACCCTCATTCAGGCAACGAACCCGTTTATCAATAAAACGTCCACGCTTCGCCATCAATGCGAACGGGCTACCTTACCTGAATGATCTCGTTCTCGCGGGGAGAACGTTTGAAAAAATGTCAATTTTTTCGCTCGATATAAGCAGGCCGCTGAACACTCAGTAGTCGCAATCCGGGGGTTCAACAATCACAAATCCGCGACGTTGTTCTCCGACGACGTTGTTCGCCTTATCGATAACACTATCGAGCGACTATCGAGAACGACAGTGAAGCTACCCCGAGAGAGGCATCGAAACTACCCCTGCTTGACGAAGCGCAACCCGTCACGTGAAGGCGGTGCGCGCCACCAACCTGTCACTTCGCGTACTCCGCGAGGCCGAGCCGGCTAGGTGATAGATAGATGGTCCTTCTGAGGGCCAAATTGCGAGTTTTTTTTTTTTTTAAACAGTCTCGTCTTTTTTCTCGACGACGACGACGACGCGATCGAAATATCGAGAATCCGAGCCGGCGGAGAGAAAACCGAAGTATCAGCCAAACTGCGGGCACTCTTACCTGTGTCGCGTGCGTGTACTACCCACTAGTTTGCCGATGAAGCAGTGAGGCTCGGCGGAGAATCGCGAGGGTGTCGCCCGGAGGGTCACCCCGGTCGATACCTCGGCGCCTGCGCAACCCCTTATCGTCCACGAACCCTCTGCGCCCTTCCGGCGCGCGTAGGGCGAGCTCGCGTACATCTTCGTGCGGTGTCGAATCGAGAGAAAAATGTGCAGCTCTCGGTCTCTCTCGTCTGCCAGTTGGTATTTTTGCGAGATTTTTCGGTGCACGTCAAACGCGGTCCGCCTACTTGCCGACAGGCAGTGTTTGCTGTTGCCTGAATAAAATTATATAGATGATCGTCTAGATGAAACTTTGGCGTCATCTTATCTTTATATAGATGATGAAAATATGTATTATCTGTATCTGCGTCTTGGATGAAAAAAAGTATTATCTAAGAATAATTTTCTGATAATTTGGATTTAGAAGCATAGTACATAAAAATACTTAAATAGTAGAATTTAAGCTGTTGTCTGAATAAAATTATATAGATGATCGTCTAGATGAAACTTTGGCGTCATCTTATCTTTATATAAATGATGAAAATATGTATTATCTGTATCTGCATCTTGGATGAAAAAAAGTATTATCTAAGAATAATTTTCTGATAATTTTGATTTAGAATCATAGTACATGAAAATACTTAAATAGTAGAATTTAAGCAGCAAGCGATAAAAATTTATAAATAAAAATATGAAATACATATATTTTTAATTTACATTTTTTTCTAACTTTGTTCACATATAAGCAGTCTTAAAAATTGTTATCTATACTGAAAAAAGTTTGGTTTTTTTTCAACCAGAGATTCCTTATAATGCAACACGAATCTTGGTTAGCACAAACCATCGATGAATCGTAATATAATTTCATCTAGATATATTTCAAACAAAATCATCTTCATCTTATCCTTATCTAAGATGTGAACTTACATATTTTTATCTCATCTCTATCTAATTAATTTTAAAATCATCTAAGCACAACACTGTCGACAGGAGATGAAACATTCTTCTTCACATTCTTGCGCGACAAGTGCGATATCCTCCCTATTTTTAAGGGTACCGCCATCACGTAAAAGAGGATGAGAAGGAGAGGACGACTTCGTGACGAGGGATATTCTTTCGAAAGCGCGCGCGGACCAATCGATGATGTATACGCGCTTCTTCTTTTCAGGAGAAATTTACATTTCGAGAAAACGCGGGCGCGAACGTCGCGTCGATGTCTGGTTGTTATTAGAATTCGACGTTTCTTATAGTATATTCTATTCACGCTGTCGACACGCTGTCGCATAAGGTCGAAAAATTTAGCAATAGCAAACTCTCTTCGTAATATCGACATACTTGTCAAAGTTCTTGTTGGAAAGTTTTGGCTTTGAAAAATCGATATAAGAGCTAAACTTGTGTGTTTATTAGGGAGGAACGTCTTGAAAAAAATATATAACTTATTTCTGAACGCAAGCAAAAGTTTTCGAAAGAAATATCTTACGAGTATTCTTTAAATATACATGTCGGATAGCAACGTAGGAGTTTATTTTTACAGTCCATTATTCATCAGATTACTACAGCTGACATTATCTTAAATATGAGATTGCATTTGTATGTTTGTACGAGTAGATTTATCAATAATGCGAGGGATTATATTTGGCAGTAAAGAATGGATGTCAAGGCGAATGGATATCAAGAATATAAAATTTTTATAAATTTCTTAGAAGATCTTTACACAGATAGGGATGAGAGAGTTCTATGTAGCACGCTCGCGTTCTTTGCATTTCACTTCAAAGAAGCGTAGTCGAGGCGCTCGTTCGTTTCAAGAAAACTTCAATCGATACGCGACGTATTTCTTCTCGTATTTTCTCTCGATAAACTCAGATATATGTAGACTCGTATACGAAAGAAAAATAACAAGTGCTGATTACTTGTCTCGTATTGCAATCAATTTGTTCATGAAAAGGAACTATCGCAGATTTGAAATAATATCGCGTTTCATTCTTTATTTTATGACATCATTCAATAACATAATCTACTCGGTGACCCAATATTCACATGTCATAACATATTAAAGAGATAGAAAATTAATTGAAATTTTTGTATGTAAAATTAAAATGTTAAGAAAGAAATAAATGTACACAGAATAATTATATCTGTAATTGCATTTATTTTACAAATATAAAAAGTTTCAACAATATTATAAAATGTATAAAAAAATTTAGAAATTATTTCTGAAATTCTGTATGCTAAAGCATACTTACGACATCTTACTGTTATTTATGCATGAGGCAATCGATGTTATATTAATAACTCAAAATTAAGACGATCAATGTTGAACAATCTTGATGCTAAATAAAGAAAAGGCTTAAATCTTACATGGTTATCTTTTCCAGCTTATTTAAAGCCCAAGAGAAACATTGATTGTTCTTATTTCCAGTCGCGATGCGTGTAAGATTGATCGCTCCGGTTTCAGATACAATATCTCTCATCCCTCATCAAGATACACTGCACATTATTTGAGAGTGATTACATACTGCTTCTATTGTCTGCTCTATAAAGTCTTTGTTCGCTTTGATGATATCTTAAGTATTGCCTTGACAATACCATGAAAGTGTTACATATATGAAACCGCGAAGTAGCCAAACTCGAATACACCAGAGCTTGTCAAATATAATATCAGAGGATTTTATAAGGGAAGTTGAATAATTTCAAACCTTTACAATTTCGCAAAAATTCGCACATCTTTTTTAATCGCAACAGATTGACCCAATTTTTAGCACGTATACTGCTTTTTGATTAATTAAATGGACAATTAATTATTCTCGTTCTGCAAGCAATAAATGATAAACAATGTTAGAAACAAATTAATATTTAATATTGCCAATAATTACCATCTGATTATTGAAGTTAATAATTTAATAATATTGAACACTTAATAGGTGAATGACCATATCGTTGACATCTTCTACTTAAAAGTGTATTTGGTATAATTTACTTTTGTTTAAAGTATATATTTATATGTTGTTGATATACATGTTTTATATAATTTAAAATCTTATATCTGCAAACTTAAATTAATATGAAACCATTAATTTAGTATTACATTTGTCAAAAAGATTAAGTCTTCATATATTTAAACTCTTATGCATATTTTTTCAAAATTTTACATTAAATACATGTCTAACGTTTACGACAGCTGTTACAAACTATAACTGAAGAAGCCAATACAAAAATTTCTTTATTCTCATTTATTTAATATAACCAAATATTTATGATCAGTAAACAATAATTGTTAGCACCCTTTTTTTTTGCCATTTAATTATCTTCCAACTATTAGATCGTCAAAAAATAATTGAAATTAAAATAACGACCTTATCAGTGTTGGCTGCTGAAAATGCTCCAACGGCAGCCTAAAATGCTGCAAAAGCAGTATCCAGCTGGCACATCAGAAACCGCGGTTGCCAGTCCCTCTCGTTTGATCTATACTGGCCTCTCGTGAAGGCACCAGCAACTAACCAGCAGAACAAACTGAATCCGGAGACATGAATGCTCGCATTGCGTATACACAGCAGGAGTCGGATGAAGAGGGAATGGCTACTACAACCCAGCTCTCCATCCCCACCAGAAAGCCGAACATCTGAGCGTCCCTGGAAGCAGCTCGGCGGGCGCAGTCATTATTGCGCCAGTCTGACACCCGCCAGCGATCTTCCTCGTCGCGTTCGTGCCGACTTGTCCGGATCTTGTTCCGCACTTCTTGGTCCCAACGCGGTACCAACGCGACCAACAACAACATCGCGCGCGTGTGCGAGAGGAGAACGGCCTCGTGGTCAACTTCGCGAGCGCGCTGACTTCCATCCTGTGTCGCGGTATACGCCGGCGTGTATACGATGAGACTCTTCTCGGGGAACGAGGAAAATGTGACGTGAGAGACTGACCTTCGGCGGGTCCTTCGACGAAGTGCGAGACGCAGTCAGTACTAACGCGTGGGTCATCCTGAGGAGTCCTGATCGTCGAGCGATGAGGAGGTTCCTGTCGACGGCAGCGGTCCGCTGCTGGCTCCTGGTGGCGCTCGGTGTCGCCCAGGTAAGTGTACATACGCGGAAATGTTCTCACCGCAAGAGGTTCCCCTCTTGGATTCCATCGTTTCAAACGCGCCAGCGAGCGCGCCGGAAGCCGCGCGTGTTTGCACGCGGATGTGTCGTCAAATCGCTTCGCGGGAAACTTGGCAGGAAGCTAGGATCGGAAAGTGAACGCACTGTTCGGATGAGATAGACTTTTTGCGGAGATTATTATTTTATATTTCACATTCAAGAAATTATTTTGGTTTGAAAAGATACGAGGAGAGAATTTTCTCTTATAGTTTACCCTCTGGTAATCGTAGACAATATGGTATTGGAAGAATTTTATAAGAGTTTTTCTGATTAATATTTTCCACAATTTTACTATGTACGTAGGAAAATTAATCGAGTATATTTTTGATCTTATTGTGCTAGACATTAATATTTTTATTGTGGTAAATATTAATCAGACAAACTCTTCCACTAGCGTATTGTCCATGACTTTTAGGGTAAATTCTAAGAGAAAATTCTCTCTGTGTAGAAATAGAATCGTTCATCAAGTTAAAACTTCTTTGTTCATTTATAATAAAAGCTTTGGCTCGTATAAATTGAACAAATTGATAAAAGAAAAACGAGCTACCTTAACTTAGGATGTCAAACAAAATTTAATTTTAGACAACATAGACTAATTATCAATATGCGAGTTGACATATACTTTTAGACATAGATTTAATCTTTGGTTTCTCAATCTTTTGTTTTCAAATGTTTATTGTTTATTTGATTTATTATGCGTCAATTGTAAAATTTAATGTATTGAGAAAGACTGTTGAAACGTTCTATTCGTAATAATAAATTTTGTTTGACATCCTGAATTAAGGTAGTTCTAGTTGGCCTTTCTTTTATCAATTCTTTTTTCATATTCCACTTGTAATGATAGTTTGATATCTAATCCCGTTTTCCGCCTTGCTTTCTCTATTATTATCACCTCAATTGCAAGAATTTTATTCCTCAGCAGAAGTATTATACTGGTATAACCGCAAAGTTTGATCTATCAAAGTAATTACTGACATTCAAACATCCGCCTTCCTGAAGTTGGAATACTTTAAATGTCGAAGACTGTTTTTCCGGTGTTTCACTTTTTCTTTTTTCTTCATTTCTTTACCAATAAAAATGGATTTTCCTGTGTAAAATTATTATTCAATTTTGTAATATATATCGTTGTATATATTTTTGTTATATCTTATATTTAAAGTTTCGTTAAAATAAATTTTATTTAAATTTAAAAACAAAAAAAAATTTATTTGGATTTAATAGTTTAAAAATTTTAAAGGAAAAATCCATGTCTAACATGCGCTATGATTAATTGTGTGTTTATGCAAAATATTCACAATGAAATAAGAGATAAAATAAGCCTAGAATGTGTTTCTTATATAAATCTATGATGCAAAAAAATGCATCATTCTATCTTTGTATGGCAATTCCTGTACCATTTATTTCATAGGCTAATAAGGGCAATATTAATATAGGATTCAACGAGCGATGAATAAATATGACAAACATAAATAACAAATGAAAGTTTAATAAATCAATGGGAAGCAATACCCTCGATGCATATGTATTAATTCAAGATAAAGTCTGTTTGATTGCGATATATAAACGGAGACGGCCGATACTATCAGCTGATTAAATGCCTAAAGAGAAATGAAAAAAAAGAACGATCTGATGATTTGATAAGCTCGTTTGGTCTTGGTTACTTCGTCTTCCTCTTGTTTGCTTGATTTGCTAATGTGTATAATGTTCAACGCTGCGATAGAACGAGGGAGAAAATCACAAATGCATAAATCACTGAATAAAAGAACTACATTCTGCAACGTTATGCCATTCCGACTCAAATTACATGCAACCGCGACTTATCAGCAATGAATATGCAAAATCAATTCATATTTTTCGCGCAGATGCATATGTTATATTCATGACATTTTGAAGACACATTACTGTAAAGAAGTAAAAATTATATTAGTGCGCTTATATTAAACACAATACATTTAATTACTCTTTCCCATTCCAAATTATATATGTATATTCTTCTGGAATATACTCTCTGTATTTATTATTTATTTTTATCTGCTAGACTAGGAGAAAAATTAAGATAAATGTGAAAATATCATTTATTTACGATTATATTTAGTAAAAGAAAGAGAAGAAATAAGAAGAAAATATTCCAAGTTCTTCTACACGTTTTTCGATGATTTTCATCGTATGCAATTATGTTATTTGCGATATTGCAAATCAATCTCTGTGCTTAATATATATATTTACGACAATATTACTTCCAACTAATACATACGACATTAGCAAGACTATATATATAACTAATTGCTTCTTGCAATCTTTACGGGAATATTATGCGTGTTGACCATTACGGGCTAATCGAATTATACTCTACAGTTATTTGTTTTTAACACATACACACACACACACACACACACACAATGTATTCATTTTCTACATATTATATTTTTTATTTTTGATTTCTTCTTTATAGACATTTTCTGGCGAAACATTTCATTTCTCATCAAAGCTCATAAGCGAAAGAAATAATAATATGCATCAAATTCTCGACTTTTATGAAACAGCAGAATTACACGTTTCTTGAGACGATTAAACGACAGTAACGGACGCAAACTAGTTTCTCGATTTCATCGTCATGCAACAAAAATATCGTGCGACGAGAAAAGTCACGATATCATGAAAGTTATTGCGAAAGGGAGTCTTTCAGTGATGAGTTTAATAACGAGCAGAGATTTGTTCAACACGCAAACTTTTAAAAGTAATTTTTATATATATTATTTTATATATTACTTTATATTTATTATATATTTTTATATGTATATTATTAAGATAAATGCGTTATATTTTTTGTTATAGAAAAATGTTGGATTCAAGAAAAGCTTGTTTTTAATTCTATACGTTTACCATGTGACTTGTATATTTTTCCATTTTTTTTTAAATTACATATATATTTTTTCTTGTTCTTGCAAGAACTAAATCTTTTCTCAACTCGAACCACAACATGATGTATTATATTCAAAGGTTAATGCTCCGCGTTGCGCGCAATTCTTTCGCTCGCTCCGAAATGTATCGTGGGACGAAAAGATCTCTCGGAGTCCGCCTATTACGAGGTGGAATGCACTGAATCCGCGAGCAGGTGCGCAAGTGTGCGTGCGTGTATGCACAAACGTGTAACACGTGCGAGAAGAAGCGACCGTCTCTGCTCGAGCGCGGTTCCGCGGAGCTTTATACAGTTAATCAAAAAATCTAATTAACGAGAAGCTGCTCCCGCTCCATGGGCGGTATCCACATTGTTTATCGCGCATTCCGCTGATTATCATTTGTTAACACTAACGTTGCGACCTTTGGTGGAGAAACTTTAACCCTCTCCGAACTCTCCAGCGCGCAATTATAACCACGGAGATTTAATCTCGCTCAAACGGAGATGAAAGAAATATACACTTTAATGTTATGAGTTTACCGCGCGTTTATTTCTCTTGCGCAAAGTTTGCAGCATATTTTGAGCAAAGCAACAAACGCAATATTCCGCGGAGAGCAAATGTGCAAATTGGACTAACAAGAAGTTATCTTCTTTGCGAGCGAACAAATAATACGAACAAATATGAGACTATGTTAATTGGTTGATTTTAACTTCTTACAAAATAATATATTTCATACTTCTCTCTTCCGAGGTGTATGCTTACAGTATTAATACTTTTAATAGTCATGTTCCTTTTTTACTCTGTATTTTATTATTATTATTATTATATATGAAGAACAAGTTTCAAAATATTTTCCACAATTTTATTTTTCTAATTAGATTTTCAATATAGCAACTCAACTAACACGATGATTCAATGAAGTCTATAATTATTAGCAATGTACGCAATATCCATTAGTTTACACTGGACAAATGGAGAGCAAATATGTGTAAGCTCGATGAAAATTTTAATTGCAAAGAACGGATACTGAGAAATGCGCTCATGAATTAATTGCGAATACGTGTACACGAGTTTCCGAGCGAAAATTTTTCACTCTTTCCTCGATGTGTCCCTGTATAATAGCATCGGGCCCCGATAGAGGTAGGCGGTTTTATTGAGCGCACGGCCTTACTATACGTATATAGCTACTTATGTTGCCGTATTAATATTTATGAGGTACCCTATGGCACTCTATAGCGCGAGATAATGTGTTCTATATAAAGCGATGCGCGAGAAAGTGATAAATTCGGGCGATTACATAACTGGCCACACGTATACTTTTACGTCGACTTATGTAAGTCGGATCGCTTGTGCGTTCTGTCGGAGAAAACGAGAGAAGTATTCTTCGTCGGCGAACGAGCGTTCAATGGCGCATTATACCAACTCATTATCTATCCGCGTGCAATCGCTGTCGATTGTAAATCAAGCTGTGGGTAAGAGGAATTTGTGACAAGCTATAGATAATTCTTAATTGCATGTAAATAATTGAATTGAAGGGAATGCTATTTTGCATTCAGGAACAACAAAAATCATATAAATCTTAATTATCATATTTCTTCATACTCCTTTTGTGTGTACATACATATACACGGAGAGAATTTTCTTTTAGATTTTACCTGGAAAATCATGGTAATCATGGAACAATATTGGATATTAATATTTACCACAATAAGGTATTAAATATGTTTGATTAATATTTTTTATTGTGGTTAATATTTTAATATCAGAGAAATTCTTACAAAATTCTTCCAATACCATATTGTATAAAATGTAAAAATTAACAACATAATAATTATATATGTATATGTATATTTCATACTCCTTTTGTGTGTACATACATATACACATAGAGAATTTTCTTTTAGATTTTGCCTGGAAAATCATAGTAATCATGGAACAATATTGGATATTAATATTTACCACCAATAAGGTATCAAACATGTTTGATTAATATTTTTTATTGTGGTTAATATTTTAATATCAGAAAAATGCT